AATGATTAGATGCAACATTAAATCAGATTTTTCTCAGTGACAGAGCATGCTCTTGAGGAATGGGGATAAATGACCCCACACATTTTAATGACCACCATACACTCATCAGCCTAGAAACCATAAATGCTGATCCCATGTTTATTATTGTAGTCAAGGGCTTGACACTTCCTGTGGGCGTTTTCTTTTTCTTTTTTTTTTTTGTAGGAATAAATATATTTTTATGGGATCTAAGGCACATCAGTTTATGTCACTGCACTCTGTTTTAGACTGTCACATCATAAAGGACAATGACAATGTATTATGTAGTTTATATATACAAATGTTCATTCAGATGTGGCTGGTTCTTATTAAAGCAGTTTTATGATTTAAAATTGTGCATCCTTTAGAGGAAAAATACTAACTCAGAATTTGGGTAGATTAAAAAAATAGTAATGCAATAAATACCTGCTAATACACTAGGGCTCCTACTACCAACGCTGGGCCGTGTTAGTGTGCATGTTATGACTCACCTCTTCTTCTTTTTTTTAAGATTTATTTATTTATTTGAGAGAGAAAGAGAGCCCATGCATGCATGCAAGAGCGGGATAGGGGGTTGGGTGGGGGAGGAGGAGAGCCAGGGGAGAGGGAGAGAGAGAATCTCAAGCAGACTTCCCACTGAGCGCAGAGCACATCGTGGGGCTTGATTTCAAGAATCATGAGATCCCAATCTGAGCCAAAATGAAGAGTCTGATGCTCATCCGACTGCACCACCCAGGTGGCCCAACGACTTAACCTCTTCTTATTGCAGCTATTAACATAATGGTCATTGGTTGTTATAATTTCCTTTTAGTTCATTATTTTTGATGTGCATAATATAAATACATGTAGATTAAAACAGTGTACTTGTTTTCAATTAAATAAGGATTGGCATATGATAATCTCTGGAATTATTTACGTGACTCCCGAGGTGGGGATAGATGTTAGCAAAATTATTGGACTGGAATCACCACAGTTAATGCAGGCTCTTTTCTTTGCTGGGAACAGAAAGCACCATGGCTGTAGCGTACCCCAGCTAGGATGGTTGATTTTTCACATTCACTGGGCTGTTAGCATTAGAGAAACACAGTTTCACTCTAATCAGAGAAAGCGTAAAAAGTAAAAGGTGTCATTCCCGACCCACCATTAGTAACACATGCAAAATCTAGGATCAAGAAGGTGTTATTTCCTTTGGAGCCAAGGCTCATGTTTCCAGTTGGAAGGTACCCTTTGATGGTCGAGCCGACTGCCCATGAATTGGTGTACAACCATTCACTTGGGGGGCTGGACTAGACTGGTTGAAAAATTAGATAATGGAAAGAGCATAAATAAGCCAACGAGAAGTGTAGACGAACCAGTCCAGTGGCTCAATTTCCTTACTCACTGAAGATTCTGTGAGTATTTGATGAATAAGGAGCCACAGCATATCACCTGCTCATCTTTGCTCTTCTAAAACAGCTGGAGTTTGATGTGACAGCCAGAGGAGAGATTGCTGCCTCGGGAAATGCTTTGCCTTTGACTGATTGCTGAATGGCTGGCAAATAAATCCTGGCACCTTTCCTTAAGTCATTTTGGTCCCATTCCTTCATTTTTCTGCTGGGAAGTGTGTACATTACATTACAGTTAAAAATACCCGCACAACACAAATGTGGAGAATAGCATCTACTGTTTTTGGGAAAGAAGTTGTAGGCTGGGATGGTTCCATTTTGTAGGGTAAAAAGGACGCCGCCATGCTCTGTTAGGAGGCCCGCACTCTTAGCGCAACTCAAAATTAGTGTTACTCCTCATCGACCTCCCACAAGGTCATGGGCTCAGGGCTCAAGATTTTTAGTCCTTGGTGAGCTTCAATTCTAGTCTTTCCCCCTTTGGTACTTATGTGCAGCAAATCCTCCCTGCCCCCCAAAATCCTAGCACCACTCCTGCCTTATATATTTACCCTGTCATCTCTAGCAAGAGGTGACAAGGTGGGTGGTTAAGAGCCTGAATTTAACCTGTCCGTGCCTCAGTTTTATCCTCTGTAAAAGGGAAATCATAAAGACAATAACTTGCCCCACCCTTTCTAGATTTCTTTGTTCACTGCCATCGTCTCTTGTGTGAAGCACAAATGTTTTCAACTCAACATACTTTACACTTACTTTTCTGTTCTTAAGAATGCATTTCAGGAGTGCCTGGGTGGTTCAGTTGATTAAGTGTCTGACTCTTAATTTCAGCTCAGGTCTTGATCTCCTGGTCCTGAGTTCAAGCCCCGTGTTGGGCTCCACATTGGGCATGGAACCTACTTAAAAAAAAAAAAAAAAAAAGACATTTCATCACTGCTGACAAAGGAAAAAGGGATATACACTTTCATTTTTGCTTTTTCAAAGTTAAGTTAAAGAGGCCATGTTTGAGACTTAGAAGGGTAAACCCTTGGTAAGAAGTGATAGATAGTTTGAGCCTTGCCTTGGGATAAAGATGAAGCTCTGCTGTCTGAGCCTGTGGTGTACGCTGTGTCTGTCATAGGCTGGGGCTCATTCCCTGCTTCTCCTGATGTCACTGGCCTGTTCTTGTAATCGATCTGTCCCAAATTGTCATTCTTGCCCTTATAGGTTAAAAGGTCTTAGTATTAATTGTAATTACTGACTCTTCTGCTCTTACAATTATAGATATAGGTTTAATTTTTTTTAATGGTGGTAAAATGCATATAACATAAAATTTAGGATTTTAACCATTTTTAAGTTTGTGTGTATATGTATGTGTAACACCTTTATCAGAAATATCTTTTATTTGAAAATAAATGTTGAGGGATGCCTAGGTGCTCTGTCAGTTAAGCATCTGCCTTTGGCTCAGGTCATGATCCCGGGGTCCTGGGATTGAGCCCCGCATCAGGCTCTTTGCTCAGTGGGAAGCCTGCTTCTCCCTCTGCCTGCCGCTCCGCTTGCTTGTGCTCTCTCTCCCTCTGAAAAATAAATAAAATCTTTTTTTGGATTTTTTAAAAGATTTTATTTATTTATTTGACAGAGAGAGAGAGAAAGAGAGGGAGCGCGCACAAGTGTAGGGAGAAGCAGACTCCCCACTGAGCAAGAAGCCAGGTGTGGGACTTGATCCCAGGACACTGGGATCATGACTTGAGCTGAAAGCAGATGCTTAACCGACTGAGCCACCCAGGCTCCCCAATAAATAAAATCTTAAAAAAAAGTTAAACTCTTAGGATTCAGGGAAATTAAAAAGTTTATGCTTAAACACATTGCAGTTAATTTTTAAAATCATACAGTTTAGCAGTAGAAATGGTTGAGTGCCTTTTTTTTAAAGACCCCACTCTGGGGAAGACCAATTTGTAGATAAACAACCCATACCCAGCAGCATTGCATAGCTAATGTCTAATGTGTGGGAGTAGGTTAGAAGCAGCTCAAACTAATGAGGTTAACCCACATACTCTAATCATCCAGACTTGCACAAAGCAGACAAATAGCACAGAAGCAGGTAGAATTCAATTTATTTCTAAATGATTCCTGCCTTCTTTGTATTCCAGAGTGTCACCAAGTAGATGGTCGGTGTTCATTTCCCACTGTTTCCAAGTCTCTTTCAACTTCCAGCATTGCATTTCCCCTAGTTAACTGACTATTGGGCCATAGGCAAGATGAGTTGTAATTCAACATAAGCACAAGACATTGTAAAAAGTCACTTCCTGTTGGCTGGGAAGCTGCCTCTCATCTCCCCCCACCACCTTATGTAGCCTCCAGTAGAGGTTAATCAATCTGCTCAGATCCCTGAGTTCCCAGAGGGGCTCAGCATTCTTGTTGTTACTCACTTTATAATTTTTAAAGATCAGTTCCAATGTAAAATCCTTCCAGAAGTGCTTAGCATGAAGAGGGTTGTTGGGAAAACCAGTTGAGCTTGATTAATTAGAAAGAAACCCACACATTTTAATGAAATCTGGAGTAAGACCTCTCTGAAACTACATTTTACTTTTTGTGTTACTCAGGGTGTGATTGGAAAAATCATTTTTCCCCCGAAGTAGAAATATATTTATTGTTTTATGCACACACACACACACACACACACACTCATTATAAAAGCCTTCAGATAACAGAAATCTATAGAGAAAAGTGTCATTCTGCCACTCAGATAACAATGGTTAGTGTTTTGGTATAAAGTTTTCTAGTTTTTTATGGCTTTACAAGCATTCAGATAATTATAGGGTATTTTTTTAGTAGGGTCAGACTATAAACACTATTTAGTAATGTGCCTTTTTATATACTTTCTATATGAACAGATACACATTTTCACCATAATTTTTATTATTTTATTTTTTTTAAAGATTTTATTTATTTATTTGACAGAGAGAGAGAGAGTGAGAAAGCACAAGTAGGGGGAGCAGCAGAGGGAGAGGCAGAAGCAGGCTCCCCGCTGAACAAGGAGCCCGAAGTGGGGCTCGATCCCAGGACCCTGGGATCATGACCTGAGCCGAAGGCAGATGCTTAACCGAATGAGCCACCCAGGTGCCCCTCACCATAATTTTTAATTGTTTCTTTGTGTTCCATTGAAAAATGTACCTTCTGTGGTTATTTCCAATTTTTCATTAAAAGGATGTTCTTCTGCATATGTCCTTGTATATGCATCTGTTTCTTTGCTATGAATACTTGAAATGGAATTGTTGTGTAAAGGAATATGTACTTTAAAAATTTTTGTTAACAATTGCAAAATTGCTCTCTAGAAAAGTTGTATCGATTTACCTGCCCGCCGGTATCATGGGTGAGTGCCCACGCCTCCACACCCTTGGAAATCATACAGGTTAGAAAAGAGTGTTGTTTTAGAGGAGATGTCCTTCCATTCTATGAGCTTAGGGTCGTGGCCAGCTTCCTGTAGATGATGTGGTTGTGTTCCTGGTTGCTGAAGATGGTCACCATCACATAACTAGGGCATTCATTTCATTGGCCAGATGGTATACTCTGGTTTCCCTTTTATGGTGTACTGTCATACCTTAAACCTGTGTTCTTCTCTCTTAGATTGAGGAGGACACGTGGCAGAAATACTACTTGGAAGGAGTCTCAAATGAAATGTACACAGAATATCTCTCCAGTGCCTTCGTGGGTCTGTCCTTCCCTACTGTTTGTGAGTAAGTGACCATTCACCATGTGCTCTTTGGCCCTCAGGGATGTTTAATGTGGCCCTTGCAGGGAAGACACCTCACCTCTGCCCAGCACGGTCTGGGTACTCAACAATTACTGAGGGTATCCTGTGCGCTCCGTCCTGTGTGGTGAGCGGGAAGGTGGGTCATTATGTGGTCCCTGCCTTGGGGATTTCTGCTGGCCCTACTTTTCCCTGCAGCTCTGAGAACCTTATGCTTAGATCCATCATTTGCACTAAATTATGAACTACAGTCCTGCATGTCGTGAATTAGGCTCCTGCCCCATAGACACAATTAGGAAGGGTGGTAGGAACCCATATCTCTGATTTTACCAGGATGAAAACAAATCTTGCTAGCTCCTTGATGAAAGGAATTTTAATATTTTTCAGTCAAGTCAGATCATAGAGACATCAGAGAAGCCATTATTCAAAGTGCATTCATGATTTGCTTAGGAAATGTGGAACCAAATGTATAGAAGGAAGCCTTGAGCCAGCCCTTGGTAACTTAGCCCCAACATATATGGACAACTGGCATGTTATGACAATGAGAAGACTTAGCTTCTCCTTCTGTTGGCTCAGCAGGAGGAATTTGAGCAAGAGGCAGCCCCAGCCTGCCATGGCCCCTCTAAGTAGAGTAGGTGACCATCTAAGGGATATGACCTCAAGAGTTCCAAGGGTTCCAGACCCTGAGAAACTTCCATCATGATGATGCCTCAGATTTCCCACTTCGAATCTCAGATGTTGGGTGTAAGTCAAACAGGGGTTTTGTCCCCTATGAAAACACAGACTCCCTGGGAATGCTGAAACATCAAGCCTGATCCACTGATGCTTTAGCAAAAGACTTGATAACCTCAGCCTCACTGATAAAGACTGAGAAGAAATAGGGGAATCTGGGAACGCATTGGGCTGAGGAAGAAAAGCTGTTCCCTTGAGCTGTCTGGGTGCCTACAAACAAAACCTGCCTTCTGGAAAGTGAGGTCTGAAGACAATAGTCCTGGGGGCCCTTGGGCTCCTCTGTCTTAGAGCTTTCCGTTCTGCGCACAGCGGAGAGGCGACGGAGTGCCTGGGCGCTTAGTGTTTACCTGGAGACTCCTGTCAGTGAACACAGCAGGTGTACTCTGTCTGTCTCTGGGCCCAGACCCTAAGCAATCCAAAATGGTCTGGCTGTTTACTGAAATTTCTCACCCTGTCTCTAAGCGAAAGTTTAAACGCTAAATGGACTGGAAAAGTGAATAGGTAATTGATTTGGAAGGAGTTATTTTCTGAAAATGGATGCCCTATTGTAACTCCCATGTGCTCTTTTCTTTGAGAGCTATTTCTCTTTCTGCCACAGAAAGAAGTTAACCCTTCAGAGGCATTGGGTCCTGGAACATTGAAGCTGTCCCAGGGGATTTTCTCTACCTTGGAGTTTGACCTGCCTGAGATAGAAAGCCCAGGAGGACTTTTAATAGAAGCTGGTTCTATTAAAGAACAAAACAAAACAGTTGAGTCCTCCTATATGATGTAGGGGTGGTCTGAGCACACTGCAAAGCCACCAATGCCCAGAGGGTCCTATGGTGCTGGGGGCATTAACAGGGGAGAGTGTGAAGATGCGCTCCTTCGCTGTTGATTTTCCCTGGCTTGACCAGTGTTTTTATCTACCATTGAGCGCTTCCTCGGAAGCCTGCATTCCCACTGCTTCTCTTATTCTGCTCCTGGGAACCAAGTCAGTTCATTTTAAGAGTGTTAACCTGGAAGGTTAGAACCACTCCCCCTAGAAGCTGTAACTGGGATACCCGCAAGATACATTTGATTCACAGATTTGGCCCATGCGGTATTTAATGTCTTAAAAGTAAGTTGCCAATATCTCAAAAGAGTGGTATTTCACATAAAAACTAGATGTCTGGCATCTCTTGAATATCTGATGAGCCGACACAGGACTTGGATTTTCACCGGATGCTAACTGGCTCCATTTTGTTAGAAGGAAGGGTTTAATGTGGGTTCTCCCCGCTCTGATGTCTTAAACCAGGCCAGATTTGCACTGATATCCCAGGCCGGCCCCACAGACACGTGAATTTGCCAGTTCTGACTCACTGGGTGGTGTGAAACTTCACTGCCCTTCGGAGCCAGCTCAAGAACTGGACACTCCTTGCTGCTGTAAATATTTCCCTTGATTGATTTTCATGTTTAGAACATGTTGCAAGGAAGAGAGACTCTTTCAGACACAACTTGTTGTCTGAGAATTTAATATTTGTTCAGCACGGCTTCTGGAATACAAAAAAACCAAACTTCTGATGTGAATGAGAATGTGTTCAACTTAGTACTATTATTCGTTCAGCACAATGATACAGCAGAGGTAGGAATAATCAATAAAGAAAGGACATTTAATGAGATTTAGGAACATCCCAAAACATTGAAGCTCTCCTCAAGCATTTGATTATCTGGAGGCTTAATTATCTGTGTTTTCTACTTTAAATTAAAGAAAAGCCATAACTCAAAGTTACCAGCAGTTTAATGATAACACTCTTCAATTCAGGTTAATTAAAGCACAGCCGTAATTAGAGTGTAGTGTTGTATATCACCGGGCTGACGCATAAGTATTTTCATTACAGTAAGAATTGGCTATTCAATTTCAAGATGACAAAAAGGACGCCAAAATATATTTTAAGCTGGTTCATGTAGAAGAAAAAAGAATTGGGGAATATTCTGGGTACAATAAAGCACAGATAAAATATACAGATTTTCAGAGCAGTTTCTGTAATTATGCACCACATTAAAACAATATGCAGCCAATAACATCTTAAAGCATGAAAAGAAATGAATTTGCTCTTCCCCTGGGCTGGCAGAGTGCCCCCTTGCAGGGTGGGATCACTGCACAAGAGAGCCTAGAGTTTTCTCAGAAGCTGGGAGAGCCCCCCCTTTTTTTAAAGATTTCATTTATCTATTTATTTTAGAGAGAGAGAAAGCCAGCAGGGTGAGGAGGGGCAGAGGGAGAGGGAGAGAGAGAGTCTTAAGCAGCTCCATGCCCAGCGAGGAGCTTGATCTCACCACACTGAGATCATGACCTGAGCTGAAACCAAGAGTCCGATGCTTAACCAACTGAGCCACCCAGGGGCCCAAGGAGAGCCATTTTATGAAAAGATAAGGGAGCAGGATCCATGGATGAAATTTGAAGTCATTTCCCCTGAGAACAGAATGGGGAAGAAGGAGAAGCAGGAGGGACAGAAGGACCCCACAAGGCAAGCTTTTTACAGATTTCAAGTGGAAGGATGCTCTCTCCTGTCCAGGTGGGACCCACACCAGCTCTATCCTTGGACTTATCTGCACTAGCCTTTTGGCTTCACTGTGTGTATCAGCAGAAGATGCAGCTTTGTTCCAAAACCAGTAACTCATATAGACAAAATGCAGTATTATTTCTAAATAGTTCATTTACATTTCCTCATTTTATCTTCACTATGATCTTGTGGTTTATATTAATAGCACTGTCCCTGGCTTATCCTGACAGGGACACTGAGACTCAGAGGATATTGGTGCCCCTCCAAAGCCACCTAGCACCCAAGTAACAGAGCCAGGGTTATGATGCTGGGCCTGTGTAATTGAGAGCACCTTGGGGTAGTTGCTAGATGAAAGCTGGCTAATTAAGAATCTCCTGGGGAGGGGCGCCTGGGTGGCTCAGCTGGTTAAGCGACTGCCTTCACCTCAGGTCATGATCCTGGGGTCCTGGGATCAAGCCCCGCATTGGGCTCTCTGCTCAGTGGGAGTCTGCTTCTCCCTCTCCCTTTGCCTCTCTGCCCTGCTCATGCTCTCCTGCTCTCTCTCTGTCAAATAAATAAATAAAATCTTCAAAAAAAAAAAAAAAGAATCTCCTGGGGAGTTTACTAAATAGAGAGATTCCTAGACTCCAGCTGTATATTTCAATATCTGGGGAAGCTGCACCCCAATTTGTACTTTTTATAAACAAGACAGGTGATTCTGATACAAAATCTGATGACTGGGACCCCCCCCCCCACCTCCCGCCACTGCCACCGCTTACCTCATCCCTCCACACCACAGGCTGGAGTAAACTCCCCTCATCCCTCACTGTGGGCTCAGTCACTGGAATGTTTCTCTCTGATTTTAGCCAAATTATAGAATTAGATGTGGGCCACATGTCACAAGCTTGCCATCATTCCTGCTTCACGTGGGGTATTCTACAATGTCTGGGGAGATAGGATGAGTATACACATCACCACACCAGGCAGACCACTGACTGCTCTGCCCCCTTCCCATGCCTAATCCAAGTCAGTACAGGAAGAAGGCATTGGGGTACTGAGCCCTGTAATGCTGATGCTGGAGCAAGCAGATCAGCGCTAAGTGCCGAGAAGCCCAGGGGAAGACCAGTACAAGTCAGAACGCAGACACCGCTTGACCTTGTTGGCAACCAAGGTGGGTATGTCCTGGACCTTCCCCAGGATGCCCTTAGGTGTTCCTTTTAAGAGCCAGCAACTTCTGAGCATCTCCCCTTCATTTGGCATAGCTGGCTTGCCCCTGGGTTTGTGTGACAGTATGATCAAGGCAGAGGAGCTTTGGGATCTGAAAGAGAAGGTTTCTCAACACCAGAAAACCACCTGCTCACTTTCCCTCTCACTCTCCACCTTCCCCAGGGAAGCAAGTGACTGTGGAGGGTGCAAGGGGCCAACGCCAAGCCTGCAGGAAGCGAGGAGCTGGGGTATGAGGCCATGTTTGCCACTAAAGGGTCTTGTTTTTGCACGGTTCCCATAGTAGGATGCGGCGTAATGTCACTGGGTGTGACCTGTGGAATTGCAAAGACCCAGACTCAAATCCCCATTTCAGCCACTTGGTGGATGTGTCATTTGGGACAAGATATTTGATTTCTGCATACCTCCTTCCTTTGGTAGTGACCAGCTGCCTGACTTTGCACTTGATAAATAGAAATATTACTTATCTCTCAATACTAGCTAATATCCTTTTCCCTTCTCCCACCTCTCCTCTTCCCACTATCATTCCTGT